GGCAAGACTGGGATAAACATCCTCAAAAAGCGATTTGCAAATGCTGTTGGGGAGAGTTTAAAGGAGATTTGCAGGGGATTGGATCTTTAGATGGAGCTCAGATTCAACAAACGCGAAACTAGTAAAGGTAGAAGAGTAAGCAAAGCAGAAGACAGACAAAGAAATGGCAAACCTCAAACAGGATCAAAATGGCGAATAGTGTCAAAAAGGTTCTTTACCTGAATGTACGTAGCATTTACAAAAGAGTCAAATCCATTTACTTTAATTGTGTGTAAGATTTAACTACCATTACAGAGCCGTGGCTCCAATAATCAGTGAGTTGAGTTATGGACCAAAATTGTTTCCCCTCAAAATATTTTAAGAAGGCAGCCTATACCCTAACTTTTTCTTACTTTAAAGGCAAATGTAAAGTGTCTGTTACAGATGCAATGTGACTGGTCAAACTACTCGATGTTAAGCAAAATACAATTTATTTAAAAACAGTAGTTAAAATACACCCAAGGAAAGAAGAATTTAGAATAATTTGACTCTATTGGAAACTTAACAGAATAATAGAATACAGTAGCTATTACTAGTTAGCTGTTCCAATATAGTAACATCCCATAAACACACCCCTTGGCAAAAAAGGAAAACACAGACACAGAATCTGACATGCAGTTCTTCCATCCAGTAGGTAAAAAGAAATCAAGAGAAAATTCAGAGAGAGTAGCAGCTAGGAAACATTCACTGAAGCTTTCAACTCTGTTGTGACCCCAATAGCTTCTGTTGCTGCTCAGAAATCATAATCTGTGAAAACTGGCCACACCCATTCAGGCTGCATTTAAAAAAAGACCCAAGGCTTCCCAAACCGTGTACTCAAGTGGTCTTCAGTAGCCAACTCGGTACCTCCGCCTTACAACCCGTCTTCAGAAAAAAAAACAGGACAAAATAACCTCTGAGAGTAACAGCATCATCACAGTTGAAACAGTTTAGCTAAAGACAATTGAGCAAAGTTCCCGTCTCATCAGTCTGGCACTTATCCTGTGTCGGGCAAAAGATTTTTGTGAAAATCAAATCTTAGTTACATGAGAACTCTTGGCCCAGATAATTAGAGGTGGTTGAGTTTGTCATCATAGACAACTATGGATACACATTTATGTAATTTTCTCATGAAAATAATTTGTCTCTACTTCAATAATAATTTGTGGCAGAGAATTCTATGTGTCAACTACCTTTGATACTTCTTTTCTAATATTTCCTTTTCCCTTATTTAAACCCACTTGTTAATGTTGAGAGCAGATACACGGATAGGAGAAGGCTGTTCAGCCTCATGGACTGATTCTGTCAGATGGTGGCAGATCTAAATTTATATGCTCTTTGCTCCAGGGATGCTAGCAATTACTTGCATAATGCAATAAAGTGCTTCATAGAGGGGTTACCAAACAAAAATTTGAAAGTTTGGAATACAGGTGACTAAAACTTGGTCAAAGGAAAAAGGTTTTAAGGAGCTTATTGAAGGAGGCAAGAGTTTTTAGGGGAGAGATTCAAGGATCTCCAGTCTTTGGCAGTTGGCAGCATTGCAATTAGTGGTAGACCAATTTGAAACCAGAGATATGCAAGAAGCCAGAATTATTGGAGTGCAGATATCTGAGCGTTGTAGGACTGTAAAAGGTTACAGTGTTAGGAAGGGGCAAGGAAAATCAGGGAGGTGAATTTTAAAACTGAATTATTGCCTAACCATATGGTGTTCACTGGTACATTTCAGGCCTTTCATGATGACCAGATGCTTCAACAGATTTGGAATCAATGTAATGAGAGAGGCATGGATGGTGGTTTCTGCAGCAGATGTGTGCAAACTGATGACAGTAAGGAGGTGGAAGCGGATGATGGTGGATGGGATATATGGTCAACTTTCGAGAATGGAAGCAGTCTGGTTCTGCCTCAGACAGTTCCTGGGAAGAGGGATGGAATTGATGATTAGAAAATGGAGTTTTGGCGGGAATTCATGAGAGTGACTTTAGCCTTCTCGTTGTTAACTGGAGGTCAAGGAAATGGCTGAGGAACTGAATAATTTGCGTCAGTCTTCATGATGGAAGACACGAGTAATATCCCAAAAATTCAAAAGAGTCAGGGAGCAGAGCTGAGTATAGTGGCCATCACCAAGGAAAAGGTGCTAGTAAAACTGATTGGCCTGAAGGTGGATAAATCACCTGAACCAAATGGACTACACCCCAAAGTTGTAAAGGAGATAGCTGAAGAGATAGTGGAAGAGTTAGCGGTGATCTTTCAGGAATCGCTCGAGTCAGGGAGGGTCCCAGAGGACTGGAAAATCGCTAACGTGACACCCCTGTTTAAAAAGGGAGTAAAGCAAAAGATAGAAAATTACAGGCCGATTAGCCTAACCTCAGTCGTGGGTAAGATTTTGGAGTCCATTGTAAAGGTTGAGATTTCTGAATATTTGGAAGTGTATAGTAAAATAGGGCAAAGTCAGCATGTTTCATTTGTCATGCGTGACAAAGCTGCTAGAATTCTTTGAGGAAGTAACAAGCAGGGTAGACCAAGGAGAGCCAATGGATGTTATCTACCCGGACTTCAAGAAGGCCTTTGATAAGGTGCCGCACAGCAGGCTGCTGAGTAAGGTAAGGGCTCACAGTGTTAGAGGCAAGGCGCTCGCATGGATAGAAGATTGGCTATCTGGCAGAAAGCAGAGAGTGGGGATAAAGGGGTCTTTCTCAGGATGGCAGCCAGTGACAAGTGGAGTTCCGCAAGGGTCAGTGGTGGGACCACAACTTTTCACTTTATACGTTAATGATCCAAATGAAGGAATTGTGGGCATTCTGGCTAAGTTTGCTGATGATACAAAGATAGGTGGAAGGACAGGTAGTATTGAGGATGTGGGGAGGCTGCAGAAGGATTTGGACAGGTTGGGAGAGTGGGCGAATAAGTGGCAGATGGAGTACAACGTGGGAAAGTGTGAGGTCATGCACTTTGGTAAGAAGAATAAAAGCATGGACTATTTTCTAAATGGGGAGAAAATTCAGAAGTCTGAAGTGCAAAGAGACTTGGGAGTTCTAGCCCAGGATTCTCTGAAGGTAAACTTGCAGGTTGAGTCAGTAGTCAGGAAGGCAAATGCAATGTTGGCATTTATTTTGAGAGGACTTGAATATAAAAGCAGGGATGGTCACTAGAATGGCCCCAGGAATGGAAAGCTTAACATGTGAGGAACGTTTGAGGACTCTGGGACTATACTCATTGGAGTGTAGAAGGATGAGGGGGGATCTAATTGAAACTTTCAGAATACTGAATGGCCTGGACAAAGTGGATATTGGGAAGACGCTTCCATTGGTAGGACAGCCTAGGACCCGAGGGCACAGCCTTAGAGTAAAAGGAAGACCTTTTAGAATGGAGATAAGGAGAAACTTCTTCAGCCAGAGTGGTGAATCAATGGAATTCACTGCCACAGAAGGCTGTGGAGGCCAGGTCATTGAGTACATTTAAACCTGAGATAGACAGGTTCTTGATTATCAAGGGTTACGGGGAGAAAGCGGAAGAATGGGGTTGAGGAACTTACCAGCCATGATTGAATGGCGGAGCAGACTCGATGGGCTGAATGGCCTAATTTCTGCTCCTATCTCTTATGGCCTTATGACATTTCCGCGCATATGGACCTGAATGTTAGGCAAGCAGTCTGAAAGTGAAGAGACAGTGTGTGTGTGTGTGTGTGTGTGTGTGTGTGTGAGTGTGTGTGTGTGTGTGTGTGTGTGTGTTGTTGCCGGGGTTGGTGGGATGCGGGTGGTCAGGTGAGGTTGCTGGAGCTACATGTAAAAATAGCTTTTTCTCATGGTGTTCCTGAAGGACCGAAGGCAGATCAGCAAAATCAGGAGGCCAATGATGTGTCTTTGGGGAACTCCGAAGGTAACGGGAACATAAACAATTTTATGACTAACTCTGAATAGATCAGAATAAAAGCTGATAAGGGTACAATATGTGGCAAATCAATTATAAGATTGAAAAGTGGTATGATTGCTGTTTATGGGTTCCAAAGCAATAGAAGCTATTTTACCTTATTCACAATGGTAGATCTAGAGGACAAAAACTGCATTTGAAGGAGGATAAATTCAAAACTATTTTGTGGAATCATTATTTGAGTGACTGTGTGGCCTGTCTGTGAAACAGGTTCTTTTGGGACGGGGTGGACTCAGTTGGTATTGATTCAGTCAAATCAAATTAGATGGATAGCTTTCAGAAAATAACATTTAAGGATACTGTGGTAAGTGCAGTATGATTAGGAGAAACTCTAGCTTTAAAACTCTCCATAACTGGAGATTTCCTTGGATTATTCCTTGGGCTATAGTTAACTTTTTTTTCTGAATGCTCTTTTATACTTCATGTGAGTATGATCACTCCATTACCATTGCGTCTGCAAGTTAAGGACATCGGGGAAAGGAGGACATTTTTAATTTCTTCGAATGTTTGTTTGTATCATGGCTAACCTTCGCCCCCAGCTCCACTTACTTGCCTTTTCTCTGTGTGTCTTGTTACCTACATTTAACAAAAAATGCTGTTAATCTCAGTCTTGGTAAACTCAAATGTTTCCCAGCATCTGCCATCTCCAGGGAGATTGTACAGATTCTGACAACCTTTTTCACGGATAAATGCTTCCTGATTTCATTCTTTAAGGGCCTAGGTCTAATTTTGAGACTTTTGAGGATGGCAGGCACATTCGACGTTAGCCTTTTTTCATTTGCCAGCTCCTGTGTTCACAGTGCTATAATGTACGAATGTGTGTATTAGAGGAAGAGTACAGAACTCTGTTTTGACCTTTTGATGGAACAGCATTTGCTCTAACTGGCATTTTTTAGTAGGGAGGGTTAAGTGTATTAATGAGCACACACACTGTTTATCTTGGGCTTACTTGGGTGAGGAAAATGAATTTAATTCCTTGATACACCGAACACAAAGTTGCTATTTGTTCTCCTTTCATTCCTCAACTATATGGAATGTTTATCTTATTCACCCAGATATATTCTGTCAATTGAGAGTGCAGAGGAAATTGAAGATTATGTTGCTGACTTGATTCAAGGGACTGAAGGGAAGAAACGTATTTTCATTGATGAGCTTCTGAAGAGGTGGAAGAAATCACAAGAGTTACTTGCTGCTGGACAAGTGCAGTTGTACAGAAAAAAGGATGGTGAGACTAAATCTAACACATCTGTAGTCCATAGCCCTTAAATTATCTAATTTTTGGATGTCTGCAACTTCTCGTGTCACAAACTACATTATTTTGTCAAAATGACATAGTGATGAATTTTGATTGAAACTTTCAAGGAGGTAACAAAGGTGATCGATGAGGGTAGAGCAGTGGATGTTGTTTACATGGATTTTAGTAAGGCTTTCAACAAAGTCCCTCATGGTAGGCTCATACAGAAGATTGAGATACATGGGATCCATGGTGACTTGGCCATGTGGATTCAGAATTGGCTTGCCGTAGAAGGCAGAGGGTATTGGTGGAAGCGTGTTTTTCAGGCTGGAGGTCTGTGAATAGTGGTTTTCCGTAGGGATCCGTACTAGGACCTCTGCTGTTTATGATATATATAAATGACTTGAATGAAAATGTAGGGGGGTGGGTTAGTCAGTTTGCAGATGATACAAAGATCGGTGGAGTTATGGATAGTGTAGAAGGTTGTCGAAGGCTACAGTGGGATATTGATCAGTTGCAGGTATGGGTGGAGAAATGGCAGATGGAGTTTAATCAGGGTAAGTGTGAAGTGCTGCACTTTGGGAGATCAAATGTTAAGGAAAAATATATAATTAATAGCAGGATCCTGAACAGCATTGTACAGAAGGATCTTGGGGTTCAAGCCCATAGCTCCCTGAAAGTAGCCATGCAAGTAGATAGTGGTAAAGAAGGCTTTATTGGTTGGGGCGTTGAGTACACGAGTCAGGATGTCATGTTGCAGCTTTATAAGACTTTGGTTAGGGCACCCTTAGAGTCTTGCATCCAGTTCTGGTCACCACATTGCAGGAAAGATGTGAAAGTTTTGAAGAGGGTGCAGAAGAGGTTTACCAGGATGCTGCCTGGATTAGGAGGTATGATCTATAAGGAGAGACTAGAAAAACTCAGGTTGTTTTCTCTTGAGCAGCACATGTTGAGTGGAGACTTGATAGAAATCTGTAAAATTGAGATCCATAGATAGGGTTGATGGTCAGAATCTTCTTCCCAGAGTTGAAATGTCTAATACTAGGGGGCATGCATTTCCGATTAGAGGGGGAATGTTCAAAGCAGATGTGAGGGGCAAGTTTTTTTACACAGTGGTAGGAGTCTGGAATGCACTGCCAGGTGGTGATGGAGGCAGATACAATTTAAGGGACTTTTAGATAGCACATGAATATGCAAGGGGTGGAGGGATACGGACCGATGGCAGGCAGAAGGGATTAGTTTAATTTGGTGTCATGTTCAGCACAACATTGTGGACCAAAGGGCCGGTTCCTGTCTGTATAGTTCCATGCCCTATGGCTGACACATTTCCTGCATTACAACAGTGAGTACACTTGAAAATTTACTTTATTTGCTGAAAAGTATTTGGCGATATGCTGACGTTGTGAAAAGCACTATATAATTGCAGCTTTGTCTCTCTGTAGAGATTCCAGATTCATCGAAAGCAGGTGACCAGCTCAAGAAGTCCAAGCGGAAAGGCCGGAACAAGCAAGAACCAGTGCTTGTGTCAGAGAGCCAGCAGCCAGCAGAAGAGGTTAAAACACCCATAGATCTGGTAAAGGTAAGCCCTAAAGCCAACAAACTTTTTCACATCCATTGACCATAGTGAAAGTGACCGTGAAACTCAGCTTTTGTGGCCATACCCATCTGAATGCTTTTGGCTGAATTGAGCAGAGGAATTGTCAACCTTGGGTAGTTGATTAACTTCAGACCAAGCCTGTAGACTCTGGAACAGGGACTTTGCAAACTCATGAAAGGAATTATGACCTTTGGCCTTGAAAGTTGCCTAATTTATCCCTTACTCCCCTGGAAAGAGAAGATGTCTCAGAAAAGTGAGTAACTGTTGAAGCTAGCTGTTTCATGGCAGTCCTTTGCACTAAACAGTGGAGTGATTTTCTTCACTACCAGAATACTGCTGTCAAGCTAAAAAGACATTCTGCCTACTACACCAATGTGGTATGTAAGTTTCAGTGGCAGTGTGACAGTAAGTACGTAGGCCATATGTCTCAATGGCTAGCAGGTTGTACCTTTAAAAATATTTATATACCACAATTGATTTGCACCTTCCTGATTAAATTGTTGTGCTATTTCAACATAGTTTAAAGTGATCAACCAAGATCATGTCTTTCACTTCAAACTGTCATCTGTCAAATTTATTGTGTAGCTTTCAGAAAGGTTCCGCATGGTGGACTGGTTAGTAAGGTTTGATCACATGGGATCCAGGGAGACTTAGCCAATTGGCTTGAAGGTAGGAGACTTAGGGTGGTGGTAGAGGGTTGTTGTTCAGACTGGAGGCCTGTGACCAGTAGTGTGCATTGAAGAAGGTTATCTAAGAGTACAATGGGATCTTGATCAACTGGGCCAGTAGGCCGAGGAATGGCAGATGGAGTTTAATTTAGATAAATGCAAGGTTTTGCATTTTGGTAAGACCGACTAGAGCAGGACTTATACAGTTAATGTTAGGGTCCTGGGGAGTCTTGTCAAACAGAGAGATCAATGGGTGCTGGTATATAGTTCCTCGAAAGTGGTAGCACAGGTATACAGAGTGGTGAAGAAGGCATTTGGCATCCTTTGTCTTCTTCAGTCAGAGCATTGAGTGCAGGAGTTGGGACATCATGTTACGGCTGTATGACATTGGTAAGGCCGCATTTGGAGTACTGTGTACAATTCTTGTCGCCCTGTTATAGGGAGGATGTTACTAAACTGGAAAGGGTGCAAAAAAGATTTTCAAGAATGTTACCGAGATTGGAATGTTGAGTTATAAGGAGAGGCTGGATGGGCAGGGACTTTTTTCATCTGGAGTATAGGAGGCTGAGGGGTGATATTATAGAGATTTATAAAATCTTGAGGAGCATAGCTAAGGTTAATTGTCAAGGTCTTTTGCCCAGGTTAGGGGAGCCCAAAATTAGAGGGCACAGGTTTAAGGTGAGAGATTTAAAAGGGGCAACTTTTTCACATAGGGGGTGGTGCACATATTGAGCAAGCTGCCAGAGGATGTGGTAGAGATGGGTACAATTACAAAATTTAAAAAAATTTGGATAGGTATACAGATAGGAAAAGTTTAGAGTGATATGGGCCAAACACAGGCAAATGAGACTAGTTTGGGAAAACTGGTTGGCATGGACGAGTTGGGCTGAAGGGCCCGTTTCTGTGCTGAATGACTCTGTGACTCTATATGCTGACTTCTGGGCCCAATTCTACAGCTGCTGGTCAGAGATCAGCCTTCAAAGTGAATGCTGGTAGGCTAGACAAACGTTGGGAGCATCACAGTTGAACACATTTCTGTCCTTGGCATGTCCAGATTTGTGCACCTTGAGCAGTGTAGAAATCCAATCCTAGAGCCCTGGAAAAAGAATCAGGAGGAGAGATTAGAATTTTTTTTAAATCAGTGGATTATAATTATTTGAATATGCTGCCTAAAAGGCTGTTGAAAGCAGATTCAGCAGCAACTTTTAAAAGAAAGTTTGATTTATACCTGAAGGGGAGAAATTTGTAGGTTATAGGAAAAGTTCAGGGCAGTGGAACGAATTGGCTGGCCCTTTGAAGAGCCAGCAAAGATGAGATGGATTTGTGGCCTTCTGCTGTACTGTAAGATCCTGACTCTAACTTCCATTTAACTGCCACCCTGACTGAAGTTGGTTAACTCTGATTGATGGACCTGAGTTAATCTTTAGATTTTTGGTTCAGCTTCATGTCTGTGCTGAAGGAATTGTACTGTTCAGGATGAAAATTTGTTCACTTTTTAAAAAAGTCTGCAGTTTGTGCCATAACGTTAAGGGAAGTGCTTATTGTACATCTTCAGGCGTGGTGTAATCTTGATTTGCTTATGTTTAAAGTGAGAAATGCTTTTAAGTCCACCTCTGCTTTCTGTCATTGAATAATATGTTTTCTTTTACTTGTTGGTGTCTGCTTTACTACAAACACTTTGGAGCCTTTAAATAAAAGAAACGAAAGAACTGCAGATGCTGTAAATTAGGAACAAAAACAAAGTTGCTGGAAAAGGTCAGCAGGTCTGGCAGTATCTGTGAAGGAAAAGACAGAGTTAACATTTCGGGTCCAGTGACCCTTCCTCAGAACTGATGGTGGCTGGGAAAAAGTCAGTTTATATGTAGAAAATAGGGGAGGGGCATGGGGTTGGGAGTAAACAATAAGATAGAGCCTAAAGAGAGAGAAGAGCAGTTGGACCGACAAAGAGACAGAAACGAAAAGACTGGGAGGGTGAGTAGTTGTTAATGGGGACTATTAGTGACTAATAACAGGTAGGGTGTAATGGCAGGCTATGTAGTGACTAGGCCTGGTGTGTGGGGTAGGGGGTTGGGACATGGGAGAGTTTAGGCCCTAAAATGATTGAACTTGATATTGAGTCCGGAGGGCTGCAGGGTCCCCAAGCGGAAAGTAAGGTGTTGTTCTTCTAGCTTGCGTTGAGCTTCGCTAGAACACTGCAGCAAGCCAGAGACAGAGATGTTGGTCAGGGAACAGGATGGTGCGTTAAAGTGGCAGGCAACGGGTAGTTCAGAGTCTTTTTTTGCGAGCAGAACGTAAATGTTCTGCGAAGCGGTCACCTAGTCTACACTTCGTTTCCCCAGTGTAGAGGAGACCACACTGTGAGCAGCGAATGCAGTAGACTAGATTCTGGGAAGTGCAGGTGAAGTGTTGCTTCACCTGGAAGGTATGTTTGGGCCCTTGGATACTGGGGAGGGAGGAGGTAAATGGGCAGGTGTTGCACCTTCGCCGGTTACAGGGGAAGGTGCCGTAGGGCTGTGGGGGTGAAGGAAGTGTGGACCAGGGTGTCCTGGAGGGAACAGTCCCTGCGGAAGGCAGACAAGTGAGGGGAGGGGAATATGTGTCTGGTGGTGGCAACTTGCTGGAGGTGGCGGAAATGGCATCTGATAATCTTCTGGATATAGATGCTGGTGGGATGGTAGGTAAGGACAAGGGGAACCCTATCGCTATTGCAGGAGGGAAGAGAAGGGATAAGGGCGGAAGTGTGAGAAATGGTCGGACCTGGTCGAGGGCCCTGTTGACCACGGAGCTGGGGAATCCTCGGTTGAGGAAGAAGGTGGACGTTTCGGAGGCTTCCTTGTTGAAGTTGGCCTCATCTGAACATGTATGACAGAGACGGAGGAACTGAGAGAATGGGATGGAGTCTTTACAGGAAGTGGAGTGTGAGGATGTATAGTCCAGCTTTTGTTTGCACTGTGAAGTTTTATTTATGATAAAGAGTTGCAAACTGTAATAGCAGATACAAGATGCCTTGGGAGTGAGAAGTAGATCTTTTTCTTTGCCGACAGACTATTTAAAAACTCATACATTTTTACTTTTCAGATATATAATCACCCATGCAGGGCTGTATAATGATAGCCCTGTGATTACAAGTACCATCATCTAGGAACCAAGCAAGCTGGCCTACTTCAATTCATTGCACTTATCCAATTTCTGTGTTTCTTTGTGAGAACATTTAGAGAATGCTGCAGTGCGTATGATTTCTGCTGCCTTTCTAGTCATTGACTGGTGTTCAGTACTTAGGAAAATATTAAAGCTTTGCTTCATGGTTGCAGTGGCACAAACTGCGTAATGACTTTGGAAATTGAATGAACCTGAAAACTGGGGGTGATGGAACATTTGGGGAAAGCCTTTTTGTTTTTAAAAATTCAGGTAATAAACCATCCCAGTGGCACAATTTCTAATTAGCCTTAACATATACACTGTCTCACTTGGACTTTGCCCAGGAACATGAAATCTGCCAAGTCGCAAAACGTTCTTCAGAACTGCTCCTCACTTCTCACCAGTGGAAGGTGTTCTTAACTGGATGGATCCTCTGTGATTAGCACCCATGTCAGTACCTATCCTGCAAATATAACTGTGAGAAACATCAAAAAATTGGAAGGAAATCACTGGTGTCAATGTTCAAGAATGGAAGTGTAGACCATAGGAACAGGATTAGATAATGGGCTCCTCTAGCCTGCTCACCATTTAATTCAATCATGATTTGTCCTTGGCTTCAAATCCACTTTCCTGCCCACTTCCCAAATTCATTGATTCCCTGAGTCCAATGATTTAGCTATCTTAACCTTAAAATATATTTAACAATGGAGCTTCCGCAACTCTTTGGGGTAGAGAATTCCAAAGATTCACACTCCTTTGAATAAAGTCATGTAGTCTCATCTCATGTCCTAAATAATTGGCAACTAATCTGAGACTGCCCTCATGTTTTAGATTCCCTAATCGGTGGAAACAATCTCTCAACATCTGCCCTGTCAAGTCCCTTTAGAATCTTGTATGTTTCAATGAGACCATCTCTCATTCTTCTGGACTTGAAAATATATATCTGATTTATTAGCCTGGCAATAACCTAGTGAAACTTTAACAGTGCCAATGCAAGTATATCCTTTCTTAATCGGGATAACAAATTGGCACACTGTCTTCAAGATGTTGTTTCGCCAAGACTTTATTTTTGCACTTCAGGATCCTGACGATGAGGCCTACACGTAATTTGCCTGTCTTATTGCTTGTTGTACCCGCATCTGTCTGTATCCCTTGTACAAATACACCCAGGTCTCTTTGAACAACCAACACTTACAAATTTTGAAAACTTCTGCTATTCTTAAGACCGAAATGAATAACTTCACACTTCTCCACCCCATATGCAATTCTGCCATATTGTTGCCCACTTTCTTAACTTACCAATATCTCTTTGCGCACCCTGGTTCCCCCTCACAGCTTATCTATCCACCTAGCTTTGTATTATCAGCAAGCTTATATTAAGTGACAGAGAGTAATTTATCTAAGTCCTCAAGATAGATAGTAAAAAGCTGAAACCCTATCACTGGTACTTGCAGAACTATAAACGACTATTGATCAGCTATCAAGAATTAAATTTTCCAATTTTCTCTGCCACAGTGACACTGCATAGCTCAGGTCAGTTACCAGTTTGACCAAACTCGGACCAACTGACTCCACATTCATTGCTAGATTTAAAGGAAAACAGAATCTTGTCTCCTTCATGGAAGCAGAGCTGGTTCATCTGCTCAAATATGTTTAGGGGCTCTGGGGAAAGTAGAAAATGGATGATCAGAAAGACAATAAAATGGTGGGAAGAGAGCGAGAGAACGAGAACGAGAGCAAGTAGTCACAGTTTGCTAACTGGAAAATGGACAAATAGGAAAATTTTCAGCTTCCTATCCACAACAAATCCTCTCTCCATGCTAATATATTGTACCCCTCTCTGAGACCTTATCTTGTCTCCTAACTTTGGAGTGGCACCTCCTTAAATGCCTTTTGTAAACCCAGATATACTACATCAACTGATTAACGTTTATCTACCTGACTAGTTACATCCATAATAAACTCAAAACAATTTGGTTTCCTTTTCATAAAATCATGTTGACTTATTTGGATCATAACGTGCTTTTTTTTTAATGTGTTAAGATGTTGTACAGGTGATTTTCTCTGAAGATTGAATGATGCAGGTTTTTGTATGGTTGGTTCTTTGAAGAATGATATGACCAAATTGAGTTAACTATTAAACAAATGTGAATGATCATTTCTAATAAGTGACACAAAACAAGATCTGTGAAAGTGCCCACTTAGAGGAGTGCTAACTACTTGGTTTTCTCTCTCCCCATCCCAATCAAGAATCATAGAGTAGAATCCTTACAGTGTGGAAACAGGCCCTTCGTCCCAACAAGTCCACACCGAACCTCAACGCATCCCACCCAGACCCATCCCATTATAACCCACCTAATCTACACATCCCTGAACACTACAGGCAATTTAGCATGGCCAATCCACCTACCCTGCATATCTTTGGACTGTGGGAGGAAACCGGAGCACCCGGAGGAAACCCACGCAGACAAGGGGAGAACATGCAAACTCCACACAGACAGGCTGGAATCGAACCCGGGTCCCTGGCGCTGTGAGGCAGTAGTGCTAACCACTGCGCCACCGTGCTGCCCGAATCAGTGGTGGACTTTTGTCTCAATCATTATAGGAAGTGTTATCCACGCCATGAAACAAACACACACTTAGTTTGAGCACTGGTTGTGAGGTAGCAGCTGGGAATATCGTGTCTTTCACAGTGTGTACTTTGTTTCTCCTTCACTTCTTTTCTCCTTCTTCTCTGCCTCTTGCTCTCGTTCTCGTTCTCTCGCTCTCATCCCACCATTTTATTGCCTTTCTGATCATCCAATTTCTACTTTCCCCAGAGCCCCTAAACATATTTGAGCAGACGAACCAGCTCTGCTTCCATGAAGGAGACAAGATTCTGTTTTCCTTTAAATCTAGCAATGAATGTGGAGTCAGTTGGTCCGAGTTTGGTCCAAATGCAGCACCTCCTGGTAACTGACCTGAGCTATGCAGTGTCACTGTGGTAGAGAAAATTGGAAACTTTAATTCTTGATAGCTGATCAATAGTCGTTTATAGGGAACATAAGCAGCTCCCTAAGTTGGCTTGTTGGCTGCACAAGTGGGCATTGAGAATAAAAATTCACTGAACTAAGTGTAAATTTACTCATTTATAAATAAGACAAACATCTTAATTGATCTAATTCTGACCATAAAATTTATTCCAAGATTTTCCACAAGGTTGACAACCTGTGGCTCTTTCTTAGAGGGTAGCAGATGTGTTCATAGTGAATAGAGATAACACAGTGTGGATCTGGAGGAACGCAGCAGGCCAGGCAGCATCAGAGGAGCAGTAAAGTTGACGTTTCAGGTTGGGACCCTTCTTCATAGTGAATTGTCCACTCATTTAAACTTGCTTGTTTATAAAGAACCTCTTCTAGAATTCGACTGGCATTGCTATCAAACTGCTCAATAGGGTTACAAAACTACCTCTATGTCAGAAATTTGGGTTGCACAAACCCCGTGGAGACTTTTGTGTGCTTTGAAAATAATTTCATTTTGCCTTCCTGTGTCAGCCCTTTACTGACTTTCCATTCCAAGGTTCAGCCTGTGCTGCTTTGGCGTCCATCACTGGGAGGAGCAAAGTACTGTTTTTAGAATGATTCATTATAATTTAGTTTACTTCCACATGAAACTGTGGAGTGTGTGGCAATAATTGTGCCCGACTGTTCCATAAACCATCACAAAATCTTTCATAATCCCAATTAGATTACCAAGACGATCAATTGCTCGCCTGAGTGCTGTTCAGGATGAAAGCAATCCACACCAGTTTTTGACAAAATTCTAAATAAAATAACTCTTTATTGTAAGACTTGTGACTTTAATAAATGGCAGAGTAAAGGAAGTATTCTGAATATACCCCTATTCAACCCCAAATTAGAAGATTAGGAGAGACAAAAGACAGACAGTTGATGCACATTATGGGTGGAACAAAACTGTAGACAGGGAAAACAAAACCTCAAAAGTCTAGAACTCCAAGGTGGGTTAAATTGTCTCTCAATTCCTTTTGATTTCAGCAATGATGATATATTGTCGTCTGTAAAGCGATGGGTATATTTTGTTTCAATAGTTGATCTTGTGGTCCTGGGTCTTGTCTTGTTAGACTTTTTACTTAGTTGGTTTTCTTGTCTTTTCACCCATGCAAAAGATATATGAAATATATACAGAGAGAGAGATGTTTTTCAGTTTGCAGGCCTCTGAATATCTCTGGCTGCTCTGCACTTACAACTTTGTAGTTGGTTACAATCAGGGGGCTATCCCCAGGCAGATTTTTCTCATCTCAAAGACTTGTAGTGCCAATCAGTTTCAAATTATCCTGTCACTGCTTTGAAAAGCAGCATTATCCTGCACAGCTGAAAATATACACCTCGTAATCCCACTTGTTTTTTGAGTTGAAAAACTCTCCTGATATTTTAGTTACATAGCAGTGTCTAACTTGCATTTTCCAGTTAATGTCCAGAAAGAAAAGTATATGGTGCCTAACATGAGTCAAAGGGAAGAGATCTGAATATGATCTCCTAAAACTGTAGAACCAGGATTAAAAATATCCTATTGGGCTTAAAAGATTCAAGCCATTGATTATTATATGGTTGGCAAAGCAAAAATGCCTGTGTTGAGAACTGATGTTTACTAGTCAAGGTTAGATCTGCTACTCAGTTGATAGCACATGCCCTTCTAAGTTAGGATTGTGGGTGAAAATCCCACTCCAACTCGCTAGGCAGACACTTTCAGTGCAGTACTGAAGGGATGTCTTTCAGATGAGATTTTAGATTGACACTTTGTCCACCCATGTAGGAGAATGTAAAAAATCACGTGGTGCGACTTGGCAAAGTGCAGGGATTTCTCCCTGGTGTCCTGGACAATATTTAATACAGTAGCATTATCACTAGAAAGTGATTTATATGGTCATTTTATCTCATTGCTGTTTGGACAGCCAATGTTTACACACATTGGCTGCTATGTTTAACATATTTTGCTTCTATTTTAACCAGGCCCAGGAGGCTAATTCAACATCCAAGAAAAAGACTAAGTACTTGTCCCTGTATACAAAGGAGGGTGAGGACAGACTTGCTGTCACTCTTCCTGGTCGTCATCCCTGTGAATGCTTAGGACAAACTCACCAACTAATCAATAACTGCCTGAGTTGTGGCCGTATTGTCTGCATGCAGGAGGGATCGGGTCCCTGCTTGTTTTGTGGAGCGTTGGTAAGTATGCAATTCTGTCCAAAATGATGCATAAAAATGGCCATTTGAGGCCCTCCAAATTAGTTTTTACAACGTAATCTAATGTCAGTTTGAATATGATCTTTGAGCAGAAGAGGAGGTATATACTTTGGGGAGTGTTAATAAGCAGGAGTGTAATTAGCCAGAAAATGTGTTATTCCCCTACATGTTTAATATTTTTACCATAAGCTGAGACGAGTTGATGAGCTGAATCTGTGTTCACCTATGAGCCTGACACTAAGCTTGTTGATTAAGCTTCAGCAACTTTGAATTCCAACTACACTTACTAATTTAACTTCACAATGTCAGCAGCTTCAACCAATGTGTCCTGTGAAATGTGATTTCTTCGTCTGACTACAATTTGTGTCATTTGTCACTTTGTAGAACTGCCAGTGTTTAGCTTTGTGCAGTCTGTTTGGAGCCAGGCCCCTGTCACGAATATGTTCAATGACTATAAAACAAATGTCATCATCTGAAAACAGTTCTGGACTTTGCAGAATGTGTCCTTGTATTTGATATTTTCTGCTAAGGCTTTCTGCACATATCTGTTCTTGCTACCTGGAGAGAAGCTGAGGGAATGCTTTTCAGGTTCTTGGTTTTAAGCTGTCCCAAATGTTATGTCAAGACCTCCCTAAGTGACAGCTGCATATAAGCAAGGTAGCGCCATTTCTGTGCATTGAAACTCACAAGCTCTGTGTATTAGGAGCATATTTTAATTTGTTGCATTTAATTTTCAAATTCTTCCTTTTTAGTTAACTGATTTCACTGGAAGGAGGAGAAAATAATGGGGAGAGTTTCTCTGAGTTAGTTATTTCTTGAGGGCAGGTTTTGAGTGAGGTGAAATATATGGAACTTTGGGAGTTATGTGATGATAAAGTGAAGGTAAATCCTGTCCTAACATCCTTTTACATAACAAAAAAAATACACCTGGAAGAACAGAAATATAGAGTTTCGCAGCACAGAAACAGGCGTTTGGCTGAGCTATTCCAAGCTAATACTTATGATCCACACAACAAAAACAGAAGGAGGGTTACTGGACCCGAAATGTTAACTCTGATTTTTTTTCTTCACAGATGCTGCCAGACCTGCTGAGCTTTTCAAGCAACTTCTGTTTTTGTTCCTGATTTACAGCATTTGCAGTTCTTTTGGTTTTTATGATCCACACAAACCTCCTTCCATCCATTTTACTCAAACCCTGTCTTCATAATTCCATCTTCTTTTCTCCCTTGTGTGTGCCAAGTGGCTGTTCTTCATCTCAACTACCCATTATAATGCCAAATTTCACATTCTTACCACTCTCTTGGTAAAGAAGTTTTTCTTTTCTGAGTTTCCCCCTTTGATATTTGGTGATTTATTTATGTTTATGATCTCTAGTTTTGGACTTCCTCACAAATGAAAACTTCTTCACAAATCTCACCTATTAAATGTTTTAATTATCTTAAAGACTGCTACTGGGTCAGCTTTCATCCTTCTCTACACTAGAGAAAAATGCTTGTTAAGCTCTTCTTGATAAACGTAGCTTCTACCATCATTCATTAATTGAATCTACCTCTTGTAGGTCTGTACCAAAGAAGAGCAAGAGATCCTTGTCCGTGATTCAAACAAGAGTCAGAAATTACGCAAGAAATTGATGGGGACCACAGGTTAGTTAATTCCTGCTCTGTGGCTTTGATGAATGGTAAATATTTATTGGCGTTCTCCATTAGAGCAGTTTAAATTGAGTATGTAATTGACCGAGGCAGACTCAGAAATCTGGGGTCCTTTTCTGATTTGTTGTAATTTAGCTGATTTTAGTCATGGTGCAGGCATGAAACTTACTGAATGTCTCACAAGTAGAATTATAAAGAATATAAAGACCAGCAACAGTTGGCCAAATTAGTCTAGGTTGGTTTTCATGCTGCATATAAGCATCCTGCCACCCTATTTTAACACCCTGTTTTATTTGACACAATCAGCCAGACTTCCCATTCCTTTCTGTCTTGTATTTATCCAGCTTCCCCTTAGATCATCTGTATGAATTTGCTTCAGCTTTTCCAAATTCCATATGCTAAGTGGGTAAAGAAGTTTCTCTGAGATTCCTAAATAGATTTATCAGTGTCTACCATTTCATTATGCTCCTTAGATTTGCACTTGCCATCATTAAAAACAACTCCTCTACATCTATCCTATTGAAACCCTTTACACTCTAAAAGCCTATTGGGTCACCCAAGGCATTTATTTCTGAGTGTTTTCTGTTGGAATGTTGGAGCATGTGGACCTCAAGGGAGTGTAGGATTGGTTTGGGTCCAATGCCTGTGATGACTCTAATTCTGGGAAGCACTATCAGCGATGTGAAGAGGATGGAGTTGCAGGGTTCGTATGTGGCCAAGGCTGATGGTACTCAAATGGTATTATGCCTTTGGCTGGCATGGCCTGTTTCCCAGCATAATCATACCTCCCTGATCAATTCATTCACCAATAGGAAATCCAGTTACAGGGTGGATTTGATCAGTGCCTTGAGTTAGAAATCCCTCTCAAGTGTGGTAGGATGATGCTGAATAGGAATATTTGTGGAACATTCTCCATTATTCGCATATTTATGATGACCTAGACATAGTGCCACAGGACTTTTTACATCCATCCGAGAGAGAGAAGACAAACCCTTGACTTAATCTTCCATCTGAAAGGTGATAGGGTCCAACAATGCAGTACTCCCTCGGTACAGCGTTGCAGTGTCAGTCTGGATCATGTGCTCAGGTTTCCAACATGAGGATTAAATTTATGATCTTCTGGCTGTGATAATAATGTCACTTACAACTAACACTGTTGCCTAGAACAATAACTCTATAGTATGATATCTTTCTCCTTGATTATTCCTTAACGTAGATGCTTCTAATTATCCGAATATTCCCATTCCTTGCTTCGCTGCAGATTAGAATCAACAATTGTTTTCAATTTCAAATCATATATTCCCACTCGCTGACTCCGACCCCATAATCCAGTAAATCCCATCCCTTCAAGTATTTATCCAGCTATCTTTTGAAAGTTACTATTGAATCTGCTTCCACCGCACTGTTAATCAGTATATTTCAGATCATTCTGACATTGGAAACATCTAATAAGGAAAAGTGATCAAAACCCTTTAAGCTTTTGACCATTTCAACAAGCCTCCATTTAACTTTCGAGTATACTTCCACCGAATGCAATTGAACAGAAAGTTGTTGATATTGTTATGTACCTGCGCTGCAATGGAATCTGAACCAGGTGTAGTATGGTCATTGTTGCTGTGTCTTCCCTCGCTATTCCACTGCCTCTGCTGTTCCCTTTGCTTGCCACTTTGCTGACAGAGTGGGGCAGTCAGTGAGATGCTGGGTGAAGCACCATGGGCTCTTTCTGTGCACGCCTGAGTCAACAGTTACCTCACCGGCTCACACGTTGAACTTTTAAGATGAAGCCATTTCCCAAATGCTGCTGCATTGCTGACAGTGACATTACTGGTGGTGACACCACAGAGACTGCAGTTTCGTGGATGATGAGGATAATACCTGCAGCTGCAATGGCAAAACCATCTTATTTTCTCTGCACTAAGGGGGCAATTCAGTGTCTGTCTGAGCAGTGACTGAGGTTCAGCACAGCTGTAGATCCACCAGTTCCTTAGATAATTGTCACTTGTTATAGTAAGGGAGAGGGAGAAGATGAGGGCATAATTGAAAGCCAAGCAGCTTGACATACATTTCCTGAAATGATGGTCACTGTGGTCCCACCTCTTCTTCTGTTATATCGATGACTGTATCGGCGCCGCCTCGTGCTCCCACGAGGAGCTCGAACAGTTCCATCCACTTTACTAACACCTTCCACCCCAACCTTAAGTTCACCTGGAACATCTCCGATACCTCTCTCTCCTTCCTGGACCTCTCTGTTTCCATCTCTGGCAACCACCTGGAAACCGATACCTATTTCAAGCCCACCGACTCCCACAGCTACCTAGAATACACCTCCTCTCATCCACCTTCCTGCAAGAATGCCATCCCCTATTCCCAATTCCTTGGCCTCTGCCCCATCTGCTCCCAAGATGAGGCTTTCCACTCCCGAACATCCCAGATGTCCTAGTTTTTCAAGGACTGCAATTTCTCCTCCGTAGTGGTCGAAAACGCCCTCGACTGCATCTCTCGTGTTTCCCGCAACTCATCCCTCACACCCCCTCCCCGGAATAACAACAAAGACAGAATCCCCCTCGTCCTAACGTATCACCCCACCAACCTCCGGATTCAACGCATCATCCTCCAGCACTTCCACCACCTGAAATCTGACCCCCTTACCAAGGACATTTTTCCCTCCCCACTCTTATCTGCCTTCCAGAGGGACCGCTCCCTCTCTGACTCCCTTGTCCGCTCCACACTTCCCTCCAGCCCCATCACACCCGGCACTTTTCCCTGCAACCACAGGAAGTGCTACACCTGCCCCTACACCTCCCCCCTCACTCCCATCCCAGGCTCCAAGAAAACCTTCCACATCAAACAGATGTTCACCTGCATATCTGCTAATGTGGTATATTGTATCCGCTGTTCCCGATGTGGCCTCCTCTACATTGGGGAAACCAAACGGAGGCTTGGAGGCCGCTTTGTGGAACACCTACGCTCGGTTCGTGACAAACGACTGCACCTCCCGGTCGCGAACCATTTCAACTCCCCCTCCCACTCCTTGGACAACATGTCCATCCTAGGCCTCCTTCAGGCCCCAGTGATGCCACCCAAAGGTTGCAGGAATAGGAGCTCATATTTCGCTCGGGAACCCTGCAGCCCAATGGTCTCAATGTGGAATTCACAAGCTTCAAAATCTCCCCACCCCCGACCTCATCCCAAAACCAGCCCAGCTTGTCCCTGCCTCCTTGACCTGTCCATCTTTTCTACCACCTATCCGCTCCTCCCACCTCACTGCCCAACCCCCACCTCTATCCCCACCACCTACCTACCAGCCTCATCCCCGTCTCCTTGACCTGTCCGTCTTCCCTCCACCTATCTGCTCCTTTATCCACCTTCCATCATCGCCTCCCCCCTCTCTCTATTTATTTCAGAGTCCCCTTCCCCTCCCCCATTTCTGAAGAAGGGTCCAGACCCGAAACATCAGCTTTCCTGCTCCTCTGATGCTGCCTGTGTTCATTCAGCTCTACACCTTGTTATCTCAGATTCTTCAGCATCGGCAGTTCCTACTATCTCTCGGCCTGACAACAGGTTGCTTGACTGCCTTCCCTGCTGGGAAGCCGATCACAGTGTTCATAATATGTTGCCAATTAATGCTTCATTAAAAACTTTTACATCTCTAATCTTATTTACCCTAAGCTAATTTGCATGTGGTTTAAGTAATCTGGAGATTACTACCTTTGTGGTTCTTCTTTCTAGCTTGGCCTTAGGTTTCTTGGAATCCCTGAGCAGAACCTCTTTCAAAGCCGTACCTATGTTGTTGGTACCTACATGAACTGCAACAATTGGATCTTAACCATCCCACTCCCAAGTTCCTTTCTAGCTCGGAGGAGATGCCCTGAAACTAAGTGGGCAACACAACCTTCAGGACTCTGTCTTTGCTGAAGAGAACAGTATCTATTCCCCTAACTATGTTATCCCCTATTACTGGAATATTTCTATTTTTCTTCCTCCATTCCACTGATACCGTGGACAATGTTGCTGTGGTCAATTTGCTCATCTTCCTGCAATCTGTATTGTTGTCCACACTGGAAGCAAGAGCTTCACTCCTATTGCACAAGGACATGGCTGAAATTCCTTCAAAGGAATTTCTGGTTCCCCATACCTAAATAACTCACAATCACACCTACCTGGCTCTGACCAAAGATTTAATTTGATGTAATTAATTGTAGGGGTGCGACTGTCTCCTGAAAGAGTGTGTCCAGATACTTCTCCCCTTCCCTGATGAATCACAGTATCCACTGATCTGACTCCAGCTCATCAACTCTGAGCCCAAGTTTCTCAAGCAGCCAACACTTGCTGTGGATCTGGCCACTCTGTTGCCCACCAGTGCCTACATACCACAGCTATTTAATTAGTTTAATTAATTTGGATTTATTTTATCCACTTGTGAGATGTGGGCATTGCTGGCTGACCATTCCTAGTTGCACTTGAGAAGGTGGTGGTGAGCTGCATTTTTGAATTGCTGCAATCCACGTGTTGTGGGTAGACCCATGATGCCCTTAGAGAGGGAATCTACGATTTTGACCCAGGGATAGTGAAGGAACAGTGATATATTTCAAAGTCAGGATAGTGAGAGGTAATTGCAGCTGGTGGTGTTCCTGTGTATCTGCTGCCCTTGTTCTTCCATATTGAAGTGGTCGTGGGTTTAGAAGGTGCTACCTGAGGATCTTTGGTGAATTTTGTAGTGCATCTTGTAGATAGTGCACACTGCTGCTATTGAGCTTTGGTAATGGAGGGAGCGGATGATTGTGGATGGAGTGCCAATCAGGCGGGCTGCTTTGTTAAATATTTTAATAGTGCATTTCCTAACAGCACGCTTCACTGCAGTATGTCTCTCGATTTACTGACCAAACAAAAGAGGCACGGAAGAAGTAGCCACCAATCATCCACCTGTTTTCTTGTGAAGTCACACTTTGGATCGAACAGGTAGAAACAGGTTGAAGGGGCTCTCTGCCGCGGTTTTTAGTTCCCACTGCCCTTCTCCGCCGGCATGCTCCTTTTTTCTTTGAGGCTGGTGTGTAAGGCAGCAGCCTGTCACCAAGAAATTGACTGTGCAGAAACAGAATGCGAACAAGGGGCTGCTGTCCGTAAGACCTGTATCATTGAACAGTGCTGAGAGGTTTAACCCAGAATATTTGGTGACTGTTGGCGTCAATGTGGATATGCAGATATGCTTGTGACATTAAAAGATTTGGAGTTGACTTCTATGAGGAGTGCATAAAGTCATCATCTGATATGGGAAAATGGAACATGAAAACAGGTCCACGTGCTGGCCTAAAAACTGGCCCAAGATACCATCTTTTACAATGACCGCGGAAGCTGTGGTGTAGTTGGAAAAAGCGGAATACAAAGGCTGGCTCTGGAGTGGAAATGAGGAATAATAAAGTTTTTGTCGGTGGGTCAGTTATTTCAAAGGTACTGATTGACCAGAACCAGTCATACAGATCAGGAGTGTTTCTGAGGGTTTGGATAAGGGCAGTTCTGATGGATCCATGCCTTTAATGACCAGAGCTGAGGCTGTTTCGAAGAAGTGTATAATTTTGATGAAGGTCGTATCTGTGCAACTGCAGCTGTATGGAAGTTATTGTCAAATGAGAAATTGTGAACATATCCTTGAAGGAACATTTGAGACATAACATATAAATAAGAATTCTACCTGAATAAGTTTACAGCTTTGAAGGACAATGGCTAATAAGATTATTTTTCCAATCAAGTTGTTCAGAGATGTTACTATACACCTCTGGAGCAGTGAATCTTGATCCTGGTCTGTTGGTGCCATACATGCTGAATGACACGCCTAGAAAATCTATGAGATATATCTTCCATCTAACATAACTTGCAATGACTTTGAGGAAAAATTCCAAAAAGTAAAATCTTGTCATCAGTCTATTGTTGACGTTGTTTGACAAATTCAGTTCTCTTACTTGGTTGATCTCCATGGAATTCATAAAATGAGGGAGTGCTGTTCTGCAGAAGGTGCCATCCTTTGGATGAAGTATTAAACAGAGGCCCCTTCTGCCTTTTCCAGTGGACAGAAAAAATTCTGTGGCACTATGTCAAAGAAGAACACGAATGCATTGTGACCTGGCCAACATTTTTGCCTCAATCAGCAGAGACTACTTGAATTTTATTGCATCGTTGTTTGTGCAAACTTATTGTGCTTGCATTGTTGAAAGGCAGTTTAGCACAACTTAGAATGATGAAATTAGCTGTGTGAAGCATGATATTTTGTCTTGAGTATATAACTAGATTGTAAAACATGTTTTCAATAATTAAACCACTTGACTTTACAGCAAATGGGATATATTTTTAAAATCTACTGGGTCAGAATGTTTAATTATGTTGAGCACAGCATTCATTGCAAACTTCATAATAACATTTGACACCCTTTTATAACCTCCAAATAATTCATTGGTTCAATGTAATAACAGTAACTTGAAACATATTAATCTTTTTCATATGCAGAAAGAGGAGGGAATCCTGACGTCTTTGAGCGGGATCTGCTGCCTCATCAAGAAATGGCTTTGAAAGCTGGACTTGAAAAAGCTATTAAACACAAAGACAAGCTATTGGAATATGACAAGACCAGGTAAGAGGGATAGCCTGAGGTAATGAATGGTTAAACAGCTAAATTATTTTGGAAATACTTACTGGTGTAAATATATTACTAACTGTGTACACTCTTCCACACAGAAGTGTACTCTTTTCAGTCATTTGACTAGAAATTCATGTAGATTACTATACTATAACTCTAAATTAGCCAATAATGCGCATTTATTGAGCTAAAAATTCTGTTGTACAAGTAAATAAAGAACTGTGGATGCTGGAGATCTGAAACACACAAAAACAGAAATTACTGGAGAAACTCAGCAGGTCTGACAGCATCTGTGAAAAGAAAGCAGAGTTAATGTTTTGAGTCCAGTGATCCTTCTTCAGAAATGTTCACGGGGTTAAAAGAGCTAAATTGGGAGGACTGTGTGCCTACACTAGACATGTTTTTTTTGCTGAGAAGACTAAGTATGATCCGATTTTCTGTTTAATATAAGTAGAGGGTTTGATAGGGTAGGTACAGCAGAGCTGTTTTCCCTATAGTTGGAAGATAGAACTAGGGCTAAGAGAAATGAAGGCTAACAAGAATATGAAAATATATTTACACCAATAAGTATTACTGACTGTGAATATGAAAATAACTTGAAGTTGGGATGCAGATCAGTCTTCATCTAACTGAACAGCAGAACAAACGCGAGGGGCTGAATAGCCTTCTCCTGTTCCTGTGTTCACAACATCAAATTAACAATTAGGGTAGCTGTGGGCTGCGGGGGACAGATATATGGCTGGACACTATACATTTTCTGTTAGTATATAGATTTCCTCTGTGATTGTTGCCTGAAATTCTAACACTGTTTATGACATGAGCAATGCAGGTTCACTCATTTGTAAGCAAGTACTTTGCAAATGGACTGTTATTGTAGGAAGAGGCTGCATTTCTCACCCCAACCGCCTTCTCCACGTCCACTTTATTCCCTGGGATTTCAAGTCACTTATACCAGTTCTCAGGCTGAAAGTGCTGTTATACTACAACGTGTTCATAGATTTCAAGCTTATTGGTGAGATAAAAACCAAGACATGGACGTATTCTTTTTGGAGAGAGTTTATTGATTTGCTCAATATTACCTCTCTTGACGCATGTCCAGTGCCACAATTGCTCCTTACTTATGTCATAGAGATATACAGCCCATGGAAACAGACCCTTTGGTCCAACTCATACATTCCGACCAGATATTCTTCATAAATCTAGTCCCATTTGCCAGCATTTGGCCCGTATCGCTCTAAACCCTTCCTATTCATATACCCATCCAGATGCCTTTTAAATGTGGTTGTACCAGCCTCCACCACTTCCTCTGGCATATCAACCCATATACGCACCACCCTCTGCATGAAAAAGTTGCCTCTTAGGTCGCTTTTAAACCTTTCCCCTCTCACCTTAAACCTATGCTCTCTAGTTTTGAAATCCTCTACCATGGCAGCACCTTGCTTTTATCTAGATTAAAGTCTTATCTGCCATTCCTTGGCCCATCTGATCAAGATCCTGTTGTACTCTGAGGTAATCTTCTTGTCTGTCCCCTGCACCACCAATTTTGGTATCAACTGCAAAATTACTAACCATACCTCCTATATTCATATACAGATCGATCATATAAATTATAAAAACTAGTGGACCCAGCACCTATCCTTGCAGCACACTGCTGGCCACATACCTCCAGTCGAAATGCAACCCTCCTCCACCACCCTCTGTCTCCTACCTTCGAGCCAGTTATGTTTCCAAATGGCTAGTTTTCCTTGTATTCCATGTGATCTAACCTTGTTTACCAGTCTACCATGCAGAATCTTGTCGAACGCCTTACTGAGGTTCATACAGACCACGTTCACCACTCTGCCTTTATCAATATTCTTTTTCACGTCTTCAAAAAAAACTCAATCAAGTTAGTAGACACAATTTCCCATGCACAAAGTTATGTTGACTATCCCTAACCAGTGCTTGCTTTTCCAAATACATGTAAATCCTATCTCTCAAGATCCGCTCCAACAACTTGCCCACCACTGATGTCAGGCTCACCAGCCTGTAGTTGCCTGGCTTTGCCTTACTACCTTTCTTGAATAATGGCACCACGGTCTTAGCCAAACTCCGGTCTTTCGGCACCTCGCCTGTGGCTATTGACAATACAAATATCTCAGCAAAGGGCCCAGCAAACACTTCCCTAGCTTCCCACAAACGTCTAGGGTATTTATCCACCTTTATGTGTTTTAAGATGTCCAGCACCACCACCTCTGTAATACGGACACTTTTCAAGATATCGTTATTTATTTCCCCACGGTCTCTAGCTTCCACATCCTTCTCCACAGTAAACACTGATGCAAAATACTCATTTAGTATCTCCCTGTGGTTCCACACATAAGTGGCCCTGCTGATCTTTAAGGGACCCTATTCTCTCCTTGGTTACTCTTTTGTGCTCAAAGGCAATTAATATCCCTTAATTTCAACAAAGATCTTAATAAACCTTTATGTGATTGACCAGTCATTAACACAGCATATTGTATGACTGCTGTCAATTAGAAAAAAAAAATTAAAATTGAACGTAATGATAGCCGCTTCTAGTGAGCCTTGGCAGTTTTGTGTTCAAGTTTTTGTTCTCAGGAATCAGAGATGCAAGAACAAATCTAGTTGTCAAATCAATTTGGGTATGCAGTATTGATTAACCTGTCTGCTGGTTTCCCATGAGAAGAAGCTAGGGAGTATTATTCAGAAGTTGGGGGGTGCAATTTTATCTATTGAAGGACAAATGGTATAAACAGCAAGGACTGAATGACATGAAATGAAAGATATAAACCGATAACCTCATGAAAGGACACAGGGTTGTAAAGGGGCAATTGCAAAATGTTACTTAGTCATGATGACCTTGGGAAAACAATCGCAGCTTGACAAGGTAGCAGACATCACCATTCAGTATGATGCAGCTGGCAAATGTTTGGGGTGGTGCATAATGGTCAGAAGGGAGGTGACAAGAACTGATGCCAATGTTGCATGTAATCATTTTAATGTGGAATGTATAAATATAATATACTTTATTGGGAGAGGGGTAGTGTGATGCAGCCTGTTTAGAGTGTCCTCTCTCAGGCTCCTTGGTAAGGAGCTCCAAATAAAGATCGAGTGTACTGCTGAACACTGGGACTAAGACTCCTGTTTAAAATCCCTCTCTAACATGGTCCATTCAAAACAACACAAGGTTATGTGACCAGAAGCTTATTTACAGAGATTTTTTTGGAGCATCTCGAGTAGAGGCAAGCACAAAATTGAGGAAGGGCATTACAAGAGCTTGAGGCCTGCGTAGCTGAAAGCATAGTCACCATGACTGGAGTAATGGGGTGCCCATGTCCCAGAAAGTCGTAGGCTTGAAGGAGGTGATAGAAAAATAAGGGAGCAAGGCTAAGGATGGATTTGAAAACAGTGCTGAGAATTTTAAATTACTTTGTCACTGGACCAAGAGCAAATGTATGTCAATGATCACGAGCGTGATGGCAGATGGGATTTAATGCAAACAGTGGTGTTGTACTTATGCAATCCAAATGATTAGCTATCTAAGTATTTCATAGTTTGAAGGTTAATCTCTTTGTCAAATGTGCATGCTGCTCAATTAATTGGATCCATTTATGTTTTGTAGTGCTCGGCGGACCCAGGTAATTGACGATGAGTCTGATTACTTTGCTGCCGATTCCAACCAGTGGCTGTCCAAACAGGAACGAGAGGCATTGCGTAAAAGAGAAGAAGAATTAAGGGAGCTCCGGCATGCATCCCGTCGAACAAAACAGATCACAATAGACTTTGCTGGACGGAGGATCCTTGAGGATCAGGGGTCTTTAGATCAATATTATAGCAGGTTTGTCTGAAACGCAGCAAATACCGAAAACTTCTTTGAAGGCTTCGGCTTTATTGAATGAGTCGGTGAGCTCTACAGACCAGCTTTAGTCTTGTTTGTGCCGAATTAACTGATCAGAGATAGGGCCTTGGGGAGTGTTGTCAAATAGAGAGACCTATGGATTCAGGTACACAGTTCCTTGAAAGTGGCATCACAGGTAGGCAGGGTGGTGAAGAAGGCATTTGGCATGCTTGCCTTCGTTGGTCAGCATATTGAATATGGGAGTTGGGACATCATGTTGCAGTTGTACAGGACACTAAGTTTGAGTTTGATTCATACTTTTCACTGTACCAAGATACAGTGAAAAGTGTTGTTTTGTGTGTTATACAGGCAGATCGTGCCATACAAAGTGCGTCACCATAGCAGAACAGAGTGTAGAATACCGTGGTACAGCCGCAGACAAGGTGTCGAGAGAGAGATCAATATTAACGTTTGAGAGGTCCATTAAGAAGTCTGATAACAGTGGGGAAGAAGCTATTCTTGGATCTGTACACACATGTATTCAAACTTCTATATCTTCTGCCTGACAAAGGTGGAAGATAGTGTAAACGGGGTGGGAGGGTTCTTTGATTATGTTAGATGCTTTCCCGAGGCAGTGGAAAGTATAGATGGAGTCAATGGATGGAAGGCTGGTTTGTGTGATGGACTGAACTATGTTCGTGACTGTAGTTTCTTTCAGTTTTGGGAAGAGCAGTTGCCATACTGTGCTCTGGTGCATCCTCATTTGATGCTTTTTATGGTGCATCTATAAAAATTGTTAAGCATTTTTGTGGACATGCCGAATTTCCTTAACTTCTCTGCTTCCTTAGGAGACTATGTTTTCTTGACCGTTGCATCGACGTGGGTGGACCAGGAACTTGGCATTCAGCACCATTGATGCAGACAAGGGCATGCCCTCCACTCTGCTTCCTGAAATCAGTGACCAGCTGTTTTGTTTTGCTGACGTTGATAGACAGATAGTTGTCTTTACACCATGCCGCTAAGCGCTCAATTTCTTTCTTGTATTCTGTCTTGTCATTGTTTGAGATCCGACCTACAACAGTGGTGTTGTCAGCAAATGGAGTTGGGGCAGAATTTGGCCACACAGTTGTGAGTATGTAAGAAGTATATCAGGGGGCTGACTCTATGCAGCCTTGTAGGACACTGGTGTTGAGGATATGGTAGAGGAGGTGTTGTTGCTTCAACTTGTTGACTGCGGTGTATGGATCCGGAAGTCGAGGATCTAATTACAGGGGGGAGCTGAGACCTAGCTCTCAGAGTTTAGAGATGAGTTTGTTTGAAATTGTGATGTTGAAGGAAGAGCTGTAGTCAACAAGTAGGAGCCTGACATAGTTGTTATGTAGATGTTGCAGGGATGAACGTACTGCTTTGGTGGTGTCTGCTTTGGACCTGTTGCGTCGAACTGCAAACGATCAAGGCAATTTGTTAGCCTGGAGTTATTATGAGCCATGATTAACCTCTCGAAGCACTTCATAATTACGAAGGTCAGAGCCACCGGGCAGTAGTCATTGAGGCACACTGCGTGATTTTTCCTTGATGGTAGTATTCTTGAACCAGGCCGGGACTTCAGATCATTGGTGAGACCACTTTAGAGTACTGCGCCCTGCTGTAGGAAGGATGTAATTAAACTAGAAAGGATGGAGAAAAGATTTACAAGCATGTTTCCGGAACTGGAGGGTTTGAGTTCATTCCACACACGAACCACTCTGTGTTTAAAAAAAGCCCCTCGTATCTTTTTCAATCTTTCTCTTCTCGCCTTAAAAATATGCTCCAGTCTTGAAATCCTCCGCTGTAGGGAAAAGACACTTGCCGTTCCTCTAAGGTCACCTCTCAACTTCCAACACTCCAGTCGAAAAGAGTACCAGCCAATCCAGCCTCTCCTTATAACTCAAACCCTCCATTTCCGGCAACATCCTGGTAAATCTCTTCTGAACCCTCTCTAGCTTAATGATACCCTTCCTATGATTGGGGAGACCAGAATTATACACAGTACTCCAGAAGAGGCCTCACTAATGTCCTGTACAACCTCAACATAATGTCCCAACTCCTATACTCAAAGGACTGAGCAATGAAGGCAAGTAAGCTAAATGCCTTTTTAACCACCCTAACTACATGTGATACAAACTTCAAAGAATTATATACATGAGCACCTAGGTCTCTCTGTTGTACAACACTTCCCAAGGCCCTACTTTTAATTGTATAAGTCTTGTCTTTGTTTATTTACCAAAATGCAATACCTCACATTTATCCAAATTAAGCTCTGTTTGCCACTGTTCAGCCCATTGACCCAATTGATCAAAATCTCTTTGTAATCTTAGATAACTTTCTTAATCTGCACATAGACTAGGCAAATCAAATTAGCCACAGTGCAGTAGAAGAGGAATTCCTGGAGTGTATATGGGATGGTTTTCTTGACCAATATATGGAGGAACCAACTAGAGAGCAGGCCATCTTAGGCTGGGTGTTGTGTAATGAGAAGGGAATCATTGCCAGTCTAGCTGTGTGAGACCCCTAGGGGAAGAGCAACCATAACATGATAGAATTTTTTATCAAGATGGAGTGTGAAGTTGTTGATTGGGAGACTAGGGTGCAAAACTTTAATAAAGGAAACTACAAGGATATGAGGCTTGTATTGACCTTGATAGATTGGAGAGAGTTAGTTAAAGGGTTGACCATGGATAGGCAATGGCAAACATTCAAGCAATGCAGGTGGGAACTGCAACCACTGTTTATTCCTGTCTGTCACAAAAGCAAAATGGATAAGACGGCCAATCCATGGCTTACAAAGGAAATAAGAGAAGGTATCTGATCCAAGGAAAGAAGCATACAGATTGGCCAAGAAAAATAAATCTGAGGATTGGGAGCAGTTTAGAATTCAGCAAAGAAGGACCAAGGGATTGATTAAGAAAGGGAAAACAGAGTACGAAAGTAGGCTTGCAGGGAACATAAAGATTGATGCTAAGAGTTTCTATAGGTATATGAAGAGAAAGAGATTGGTAAAGACAAATGTAGGTCCACTACAGACAGAAATGAGGTAATGTATAACAGGGGACAAAGAAATGGCTCAGGAACTGAATATATACTTTGTAAAAACTGAAAGAACGGCAGATTTTTTTCTTCACAGATGCTGCCAGACCTGCTGAGCATTTCCTGCAACTTCTGTTTTTGTTCCTGAATACACACTTTGGTTTTGTCTTCACAAAAGAGGACATAAATCAGATAACAGAATTGTTGGAGGATGCAAGATTTAGTAGATCTGAGCGAGATCATTATTAGTAGAGAAATGGTGCCAGGAAGATTGTTGGGATTGAAGGCTGATAAATCCCCAGGACCTAATAATCTACATCCCAGAGTACTTAAGGAAGTAGCTTTAGAAATAATGGATGCATTGGTGGTCATCTTCCAGGATTCTATAGACTCTGGAACAGCCCCTGCAGATTAGCAGGTTAATGTCACTCTAATATTCAAAAAGGAAGGTAGAGAGAAAACAGGGAATTATAAACCAGTGAACCTAACATCGGTAGTGGGGAAAATTCTCGAATTCATTGTCAATGATTTTATAGCAGAGCATTTAGAAAACAGTGGCAGAATCAGCATGGATTTATGAACGGGAAATCATGCTTGACAAATCTGTTGGAATTCTATGAAGATGTAACTAGTAGAGTTGACAAGGGGGAGCCAGTTGATGTAGTATATTTGGACTTTCAGAAAGCATTTGACAAAGTCCCGCATTAACATTAATGTGCACAGTTAAAGCGCATGGGTTTGGGGGAAGTGTATTGAGACAGATAGGAAACTGGTTGGCAGAGAGGAAACAAAGAGTAGGAATTAATGGGTCCTTCTCAAATTGGCAGGCATTAACTAGTGGGGTGCCACAGGGATCAGTACTGGGACCCCAGCTATTCATAATAAGTATTAATGATTTGGATGAGGGAACAAAATGTAACATCTCCAAGTTTGCAGATGATACCATGGTGGGTGGGAGGGTGAACTGTGATGAGGATACAGAGATCCTTCAGCATAATCTCGATAGGTTGGGTGAGTGGGCAAATCAATGGCAGATGCAGTATAATGTGGAAAAATTTGAGTTTATTCACTTCAAAAGCAGAAACAAGAAGGCAGATTGCCACCTGAATGGCTGTAGATTGGGAGAGGGGAGTGTGCAGCAGGATCTGGGTGTCCTTGTGCACCACTCGCTGAAGGTAAGCATGCAGGTGCAGCAAGCAGTAAAGAAGGCAAATGGTATGTTGGCCTTCATTGTGGGTGGTTTCAGGAGCAAGGATGTGTTGTTGCAGTTGTATAGGGCCTTGGTGAGGCCACACATGGACTATTGTGTGCAGTTTTGGTGTCCTTTCCTGAGGAAGGATTCTCTTGCCCTCTAGGAAGTGCAGCAAAGGTTTACCATGCTGATTTCAGGGATGGCGAGTCTGACGTATGAGGAGAGATTGACTAGATTGGGTTTTCGCTAGAGTTCAGATGAATAAGGGGGGATCTCATAGAGACTTATAAAATTCTAACAGGACTAGACAGGGTAGACACAGGGAGGATGTTCCCAGTGGTGGGTGCGTCCAGAGCCAGGGGTCAGTATGAGCCTTTGGGGTTAGGGACTTCCAAAATTTTGATCCAGCAATTGCAAAGGAACCACAAAATAGTCTTAAATCAGGCTGGTGTTTAGTTTATAGGGGATCTTGCTGATGATGATCTGCTATTAGATTGTTGGATTGGAAGTTGCTGTCAAAGGAGCTTTAGTGAGTTGCTGCTACTTTGTGCAAGTGATGGAAGGAGTGAATGTTGAAGTTGGTAGAAGGGGTGCTGATCAAGAATGTAATTTTGTCCTGGTTAGTGTTGAGCCTCTTGTGTGTTGTTGCAGCTGTGCTCAAAAGTAATTCGAAAGCCTTGTTTCACACTTCAGACTTGTGCCTTATGGACAGGTTTTGAGGACTCAGGAGATGAATCACTTACCATGTAATTCCCAACTTCTGACCTGCTTTTGTAGCTATAGTTGTGATTTGGTCCAGTTCACTTTCAGGCTAAAGGTAACCTCTTGGATGCTCAAAAAACATCATCTCTGGCAGTCCAACCTTGAATTTCCCATAACCTTCTGACTAATCATTGTCGACTGATTTAGAATGAAATACTTGCAAGTCTGAGATTCTGTATTAATGTACTTCAGATTGAAATAAAATAAATCACTGGGAAATCTGTTGACAGTTAGATCAATCATACGCATTCTACTTTTGAGTTTACCCTGGAGCACTGTTTTATAATACTCTTTCTGCTGCCCAAACCAATGAGGAAGGACATATTTGTCTTCCATCCAAGATCTCTCTTACACAGCCCAAACCAATCAGGGGACAATTTGTTGATAATTTCTCTTAATTCTCCTTGATATTTTAGGTGCCAATGACATAGGTAGAAAGAGGAAAGAGGCTCTGCAGAGGGAATATATGCAGCTAGGGGCTAATTTAGAAAGCAGAACTAAAACCGTGCAAGGTTCAGTTGGCAGTTAGGAAGGCAAATGCAATGTTAGCATACATCTTGAGAGATTTAGAATACAAAAGCAGAGTTGCAATGCTGAGGCTGTAAAAGGGTGTATAACCGTAACAATATCGCAGGTCAGACCCATTTAGAATATTCTGAGCAGTTTTGGGCCCCCTATCTAGGAAGGATGTGCTGACCATGGAGGGCGTCCAGAGGAGGTTTACAAGAATGATCACTGGAATGAAGGGCTTGTCATATGGAGGAGCAGTTGAGGACCCTAGGTCTGCAGAAGGATGACGGTGGACCTCATTGAAACTGACAATACTGAGAGGCCTGGATAGATTGGATGTGGAGAAAATGTTTTCATTTGTAAGAGAGACTGTAACCCAAAGGCACAGCCTTAGTGAAAAATTGACCCCTTTGAATTGAGATGAGGAATTTCTTCAGCCAGACGATGGTGAATCTGTGGATCTCATTACCACAAAATGCTGCAGATACCAAGTCATTGAGTGTCTTGAAGGCAAAGATAAATAGGTTCTTGATTAGTAAGGGGATTAAGGGTACCGGAGAGGAGGTAGGAGAGTGGGGTTGAGAAACCTATCAGCCATGATCAAATGTTGGAGCAGAGTAAATGGGCCAAATGGCCTAATTATTCTCCTCTATCTTATGGTCTTCCCACTGATATAAATTAGAATAGTGTGTTTACTAATTCTCACCGGTTATCTATTTATTACGTGCAGTCCTGTCGAAAATTCAACATTGCAGCAGTAGCCAATTAATAAACAAGATAGCGTTGTGAGCTGAGTGGTTATGTGATGAATAGTGGTATTGTCATTTGATTGATTAATGCCCAGGCCTATCTTGAAATGTCTTTAGTGGGCACTTTATTTGCTAGCTGGACTGCAACATAAAATCTATAAAAGGGAGATCAAAGATAGATGTCCCTTTCAAGGTAGGAGATTACTTACTTTTTCTAATAAAACAGGATGGCGAATGCTGTGAAGTGACACTGATGTAGTGTTCAACCTCTGCTGTAATCTTCAGGTCATCAGTGCAGCAGTTGTTATAGGATAATGTGGTTTTGAGTTGACTCACAGAGATTCTGTAATAGCACTCACAGCATATATTGATTTGAAACAATTGATAGTTTGGGCTACTTAATTTTACGTTTTGATGTTTGAGATGCAATCACCTATAATTCTCTTTTACAGCAAGCGCCATTCCTTCAGGGTGATCCTTGAATGACCATGCAAATTTGCACTAGAAGTACTCTTGACGAGCTCATTTGTATGAGACCCTTGGGGTGCCTGGATGGTAGAATTTATTCTGTGTTTCAGAACTGATTTTGAAACATTGGAATGTCAGTGAAACAATTGTGACTGTCTGACTCATAATTTATGATTTTGTTTTATTTTCATTTATTACAGAAGGAAACCGTGTAGTTTGTTATGTCTGTGGTGTCTCTTTGAAAGAGCAGTCTACTTGGTCTTATATCTTTGCCCATAGTTTCTAGCATCAAATTGTCAATTCTGTGCTCCATTGGCTCAGCTTCCTAGGAACTGTTGGCAAGTTTATTGTCTATCTGCCAAAACAGGGGTACACACAAAAAAAAATCCATTTCATGTGGGTCTTGATGCACCAAAATCTGTGGTGCTGCCTCATTTACCCTAAAATACCGAGATTTAATTGCTAATAAATTGGGGCATCTATCGTAGATCAGTAAACGTTTTGGAATATTTGAACTCAAAGTAAGAACAGTTACTTTCCTGAATTTCCTGTCTGTCATGGGTTTGTAGCACTTCCTGTTTCTGTTGTGATTCAAGTCCAGGTATGACTAAAGAGTTTGCTCAGATTGCTGGATGCCCTCCATCCCACGTGCCTTCCGTGATTGGGGTTCTTTTCTTTGGGTTGCTATATAATTTTTTTTTCTTTTCAAACAGACTGGATGATCTAGTCCAAGAAATGAAGCCTGAATCTCAGAATAACAATTCCAGTGAACAGGTCAAAAGAAGCAAGCAACACTTGGGCGAATTGGTTAATCCCAATATTGTTGAATGTGTTCCCATTGTAAGTGTTAACTACCAAGTCAATTGAATGACTGCCATTAATCAATATATTTGGTAGTCAAAACCAACATTTATGTTAAACTATATAACTAAACTGCTAAGAAACAGCACTGCCATTGGATGAAGCTTTCCCACAAAACTAGTGCTTTAACCAGTAATAGAACTGAGTTTTTTGTTTTAGCTATTTTGATGTATGGTAATTCCACATTTAATTGTAGACATTAGGAGACTAGGCAGCACATTTTTAAGGTGAGAGGAGAGAGATTTAAAAAAAGACATGAGGCAAATTTTTTACACAGAGGGTGGTTCGCATGTGAAATGAACTTCCAGAGGAAGTGGTGGATGTGGGTATAATTACAACGTTTAAAAGACTTTTGGATGGATATATGAATAGGAAAGGCTTGAAGGGAGGTGGGCCAGGAGCAGGCAGGTGGGACTAGTTTAGTTTGGTATTATGTTTGGCACAGACTGGTTGGGACCCAAGGGTCTGTTTCCATGCTGTATGACTGCATGATTCTACGACCTAACTATTTGCTGTGTGAAAAAGTTTTTTTTGAACACCTAGGATGCTTCTAGTTAGTCCCATTCTCTTTTCCTCACCTGCCATCTAACACCGCTCCCACCCCCCACCCCTCTTTTCCCATATCACTGTAATTTCTTTGTCATTCAGGTATATAGCTTTGGATAGCTACTTTTGAACCTGCATCCACTGTCCTATCAGGTAGCATATTCCACATCCCGATCAATGTTGTGTGAAGAGTTTTTTTTCCTTGTGTCATCTCGTGTCTTTTTCCCCATCACTTGAAATCTTCATTGCCATTATTGTCATGGTCTCCCAACGTCATTGGACTAACAACGTAGAGGCCCAGGCTACCGCTTTGGCGGCATAGGGTCAAATCCTACTTTGGTAGCTGGAGGATTAATCATTTGGGATAAAAAGCTACTGTTGTCAATAGTGAGGATGGAACTATTGGATTGTTGCAAAAACTGCAATGCACTTTTTAGGGATGGAAATCTGCTATCTTTACCAAGTCCACAGCATGTGATTCCAGACCCTCAGCAATGTGGTTGACTCTTTATTGCCCTCTGAAATAACCAGGCAAATCACTGTTGTTTCCAAGGAGGTGGAACCATTATCCTCCTAGTGGTGATGTGTACAGAAACAAATTACCAGTGTTTAACAATCTTTTAAAATGGAACAAAGGCAGAAAAGGCTGGAAAAATTCAGGGCTGGCAGAACCTGTGGAGAGAAAAACAGTGTTAATGTTTCGAATCTGGTATGATGATTCTTCAGAATTTTGAATCGCTTCTGAAGTAGAGTTAGACAGGGTTTGAAACGTTAACTCTGTTTCTTTCTCCACATACACTGGCAGACCTGCTGAATTTCTCCAGCACCTCCTGTTTTTCTTTGCTTTTCAGCATCTGCAGTATTTTGTTTTATTTTGAAAAATCATGGAAATTGTACAAGTATTTGAAGAACAAGAAATGGAACAAATCTCGGGTCAGTTGATATGGAGAGTGGCTTCTTTCTGCATTGTAATTTCTGTGTTCCTTGTTTGAGTTCCATATCCATATGTGTATTTTTCTGTGTCTGGATTATATTTGTGCTCAAGCTTTATCTTACTTCTGCAGTATGTGGAACTGACAGGAGCAGGTGCTCATAGGAGAGGGGTTGATAATCACTTGCAGAACAGAGTCAGTGACGTCGCCTCTGAGCGGAACCGTTTGAGGATTCAGGACCGAGAGCTGTTGGAGATGTCTGATGACGGGATGTGTCTCAGTATGCATCAGCCTTGGGCTTCCCTACTTGTAAGAGGCATCAAAAGGTAAGAACCATATGATACACATTACAAGCTGTAAATATTCAGTGTACAATTGGATCAAGTGTGACATTGGCATTGCCACTTAATGATATAAGAATAACACTGGAGAGGCAGAGGGAATTTGAATTCAGTTGGATTTTGCAAACTATTGAAGGCATTGCTGCTTCTATTCAAGTATAACTTTCAGTGTCGCCCAATAGCTACAAACTGACTGTCAATTTGAAGCCTTGTTCAGCCCATTTCCTCCTAAATAGACTGAGACATCTTCATGTAACCCCATTCTGTGTCTGTTATTGGACCTATCATTCCAGCTGATGGGGTATATTGAGAAAACTGTAACCAAAAAATGCTAATTACAATAGTATATTCTTAATACACAAGTAAATTTGACTTTAGAAATCATATAAATTTGCAGCATGGAAAGATGCCACTGGTTCAATCGTGCCTACGTTGGCCCACAAGCAGCCAGCCAGCTTAATCCCACTGTCCAGATCTTGGTCTGCAACTATGGAGGTTGCGACACTTGAAGGGCAAAATCCTAATCCCAATTTGGATATGTGCTACTTAAATGCTGTGAGGATTCGGTCTTTACCAATTTATTCAGATAATGGATTTCAGACCTCTACCACCTCTGAGTGGAAAGAAAATTATGTTGAATTCTGTGGATTTAGACCTGTGCCCCCACCCTTGTTTTTAACCCCTTATACAAGAGAAATAGGTCCTTCCTATCTAATGTATTTGTACTGCATTATAATTTTATACGTTCTCCTCTAAAGAAAAGGCCAGACTGTCCACTCTTACCTCGTAATTAAAATTCCTCAGTCCAGGCAACATCCTCATATCTCCTCTGTACACTGTCCAGTCTTATTGCATTTATTTAATAATGTAATGATTCAAACTGTGCACAGTTCTGCAGCTGTGGCCTGAGCAATGTTTCTTCCAGTTCCAGCATAACCACTGAGCTCTTGTATTCTGTGCCTCAACTCATAAAGGCAAGTATCCTGTGCCTTCTTGACCACCTTATCCATCTGTCCAGCCAGCTTATGTGATATGTGAACGTATACCTCTTAGGATTTTCCTTTATCAATGCTTCATGGTGCTAATTATTAGACGGTATAAATTTATTATGTATTTATTTGTCTTGTTAGTCTTCCCCAAATGGAGAACCTCCCATTAGATTGGGGAGGCCATAAAAGGATGAATGTCAGCGATATTGTGTCTCTGAATGCCTGACTCAGTGGGAAACAGTGCAAACAATACTGTCAAAGGCTATGCAGGTTTCTGAAGAGTGATTTCATCCAGTGATATTAATCATAGATAAATCTGTGTTGACAGTCTTTGATTAATCCATGTCTTTCTAAATAAAAATTATCCTGTCCTCAGAAATATTTTCCATTTTTGTTTTCAATCACCAATGAGATTATGCTTACTTAAATAAAGTAATTACTTGACCTATTCTTTCTCCTTTTTTTTAAACCAATAATAAAATGTTAGCTCTCGTCCCGTCTGGTAGCACATTTGCAATCAGAGAGGATTGGAAAAGGATCATCAGAGTGTCCACTTCCTTTGTTAGCTTTTCATCCACAGCCTAGGACATATTTTGTGTTGGCCAACCAATTTATTTTCTTTTGAAGATGTTAAACCTCTTCATTCTTTCTTCCTCATGCTCTTAATTTAATCTAATATTGAACACTCCTCCTCCCTTATTGCAGTTTCTTTATTGTTCCTCATAGTGTGAAAACAGATGCAAAATCAAAAACCTTTCTGCTGCACGCACAGGTTGTTCTTTTGGTGCCTAATGCAGTAAATCACCTCTTTAATTGACCCTGCTTAAACATCATTTTGTCATTACCTTTTTGTTTTTAAGGCCTGTTTCCTTGAATTGCATTGATATTCCTAGTTTATATTGTTGTCTATTTGGGTTCCTTACATTCAATTGTCTCTGGCATGTTTCTCTGCCAGTTTGCCTCCTGCCTAGTCTTGCTTTCCCCCCTCCCGCAACTCTGCTTGCTGTTGTATTACGTCACTCGCTTCACCAATAAAACCAATCCCATCTCCTGAAGATGGTTCTTAACTCGTGCTGAATGAGATTGATCTAGTAGCAGCGGTTGGTTAGTGCAGGGACCCTAAAGCTGCCTGCATGGAGTAAATTCTGCCACTAGATGGAGGCTGGTCAGCAAAGATGTATATTTTTACATAGCGTATTGTACAGTAGTGTATTGTATTGCCTTTGATTTGCAGTTAATGTATTTATTTGAAGTATGTTAGCTAGGAATGCACAGTGTGGTACATAGATGATGGGGTATTTTGTATTATACATTATTTCATTTTGAGAAATAATTGTACAAAGGATCCTAACTCTGACTTTAACATTGATTCCTCTGGTAATCTATGATTCCCATTGTTTCACTAATGTTGCAATTCTCAGGCATGCAACTGCAAATTTGATGTGGGTTGACTATTACCCCACTCTTTCTGTAGTTAGCCAGTTTGCTGTTTTTGTACACAGATTTAATGCAAGCAGAGGCGAAATGAAGAGAAAAAAATTGTGCAGAGAGTTTGTTGTGGTCTGGAACATACTGCCTGAAAGGATGGAGGCAACTGGTTCATGAATACATTTCAAACGGGAATTGGATCAATACGAGGAGGAAACATGTTCGGGTGAATGGGGGCAATTAGAAAGCTCTTTGCAAAGCAGGAAAGATGGGCCATGACCTGGTCCTACTCCTGTGCCATTTTGTTCACCAACTCTACAATTCTATGATGAGGGAAACCTGGGCTAGTTGCCAGAGTAAGTCAGATTTGTGGGACCGGCAAGTGCACATTTAAACTGGATGGAAATTGGAATCAAGGTTGGTAAGATTAGATAGGAACAAACATAAACAGAAATTGTTGGAGAAACTTAGTACTTCTGGCAACGTAGAAGATCATAGAGTCCCTACAATGTGGAAACAGGCCCTTCAGCCCAACAAGTCCACACCAACTCTCAGAGCATCCCACCCAGACCCATCCCCATATAACCCACCTAATCTACACATCCCTCAACACTATGGACAATTTTTTGTGACCAATCCACCTAGCCTGCACATTTTTGGACTGTGAGAGGAAACCGGAGCACCCAGAGGAAACCCACGCAGATGGCGTATTGAAGTGGCAGGCACCTGGAAGCTCGGGGTAATTTTCACGGAAAGAGTTTAGTTGAATTAGAAGGCTGGCTTGATGGGGTAGAGAAAGGCATGTGTGTGAATAATAGGCTGTGAAGGTTTGCATAGGTGGAAATGAAGTTTTGGCAGTTATTTTGGCAGTTATTACTTGATTGTTCTGAAGGGGTCAAGTTCCTCAACTATTGACAGTTAATAGCCAGAAAAATATAATGGTTATTGAACATCCATTGCTACATTTTGCTTAGGAGTCTTACTTTAACCAGGTTGGATTTAGTTAAGTTTGAGACTGCCGTCATTAATTTTTCTACTGTTGTTACTTTTAGGTTTCTGCCATTCAGTTTCTTCCTTTATTTAGTGAATTTTAGATAAAATATGTTCTGTCTCACTCAGTACTGGCTGCTGCTTAATGGGATGAATCTTGTTTCTCAGAAGGTTGTGTATACAAACCATTCTCAAGAGTCTTGAACTAAATGTGTTGACTGGCACTTAAAATACAGCCGTGAGGAAGTTGTTGTATTGTTGGAGGTACTATATTTCAGATCAACTAGTGGATAAAAGTATCCCATAGAGGTACGAAGTGCAAGGGAGTTCTTTCTGATGCCCTGGTTTCCCTCAATTAAAACCAGTAGAACAGAATGTCTCATCATTTTTTTCTTTGTTGTTTGTAAGACCTTGCCCATTGCAAATTAGCACTGTCAGCCTGCGTTACAGACTACGCTTCAAAAGTATTTCAACAAAACATTGCACATTCTAGAAATCTGGAAAAAAAGCAGTAAATGCTTGAAATACTCAGCAGGTGTGGGCAGCCTCTGCGAAGAGAGAGGGAAAGAGTTAATGTCTCAGTCATTAACGTTTCATGAGAACTGATGAGGCGTTACCTCTGTTTCTATCTCCTCAAATGCTGTCAGAACTGATGACTATTTCCAGCAGTCTTTTTAGTAGTTTAGAACTGCTTCATTTGCTGTGAGCCACTTTGGGATGTCCTGAGGACAAGAAAGACACTATGTAAATGCATGTTTGATATTTTCTCCTCTTACTTCATTAGCCCATTTAGAGCAATCTATTTTGATTATTGGATGGCTATGGTTGTGGTGTACTCCTGCCTATAGACATATAACCTGACTATTTTGTATGGGACCTTTTCTATATTTTTAAGCTTGGTTTGCTTCCTCTTTGTAGGGCAGAGGGCAGGTCCTGGTACACATCGCACCGAGGCCGCCTATGGATTGCTGCTGCTGCCAAAAGACCCTCACCACAGGAAATAACCGAGATTGAGGGGACCTATAGGGCAATGCATGACAGAGGTAAACCACTTCATCAGGAACCAGTTTTTCAAATCTCTACATTATTTCAAAGTGCATAAAGCCACTCAAGAATATAATGTTGGAATATTCATTTGATGCATAGGGTGCACCTGTATTAACTGGTTGAGTTTAGCTCTAGGTTTAACTGAAGATTTTTGACACTGTTAACTTATGCTGACCTTTTTGTTCCAGCCTTATTTTATTTTTAAATTCAATTTTTGAAGTGAAATGCTTGTTTGGGAAAGAGCACTGAATATATGCTGCAGCACGTTAGTACTTTAAATCTCAGTTCAGACCGAAATACCCAGTGCTCATTGACTTAATCAGCTCTGTTGCACCATACTCTTTTTGTTTAAAAAAAAAACAAAATTCTTATTCATGTATATTCACCTCCCTCCATGACCTTAGCCTTTCCCAATCTCTGTAACCACTTCCATTCCTACAGCGTGCGGAGGACTATTCTCTTCCATCATCACAGCATACATGGCCATGCTGTAGCTGTGTAAACCTTGACCTGTTCAATTTCCTGCATGATCTTT